CCATTTTCTTTATTAAAACATGTTTAAATAAAAGCCAGCTGCAGGATACACCATCTTTTATATATTAGGATTGCAATCTAAATATCCTATGTTTATATATATATATATATATATATATAAAAACACAAATCTATTATGCCTAACATTTAAAATTCAAAGTGCTTAAATGTGAGCAGAGTTTGGTAAATATGAAAAAAAAGACCAACAACAATAGTCAACATAAGGAAAAGTACAAAAGACGTAAGATAAGTTATTTCAACTCATCTTAACACTATATATATATATATATATATATATATATATATATACACACACACACTCTTGTGCAAATTAATTAAAACAAATAATTCTGTTATTATTTACATTTTTTTTGTATATTTCCAATGAAACATGACCCAATACACATGTTAGTACATTGTATGCCATCCCATGAAGTCCTTCCTTGCAGGTTGACCATAAATTCTCAATTTGATTTAAATTAGGAGAATTTACAAGCCAGTCGATAATACTTTGATTTACTCACAGATAAGGTTTGTCAGTACGTTTGTGCAGTATTCCAATTTTTTGTATGCTTCCTTGGAGAAGTGTCCATAGCAGACAATGACCATAGAAGAACTAAACAACAGTTCAGACAATAGTGTCTGGATGTGATGACAAACTGATGCAATCACAGATGACACAATATTATTCAAGGCCAAACAAATTTCATCATATATGCCAAAAATAGATTCATATTGCTACACATTACTTTAAATGACCTAATCTGCGGAAAAATAGAAATCAATTACACCCTGTCACTTCAGTGGGTCTAAAACTGACCTTATGGTGAAAGAATGGAAACTAAAGTGATTGTTTTAATTAATTTGTACAACAGTATATACAAGGGTGTATATAGTGTAGATAGAATTTAATTCTGATGGTCTAATAATCACTTAAGGCAGGAAACTTTGTTACCATGCTGTGTTGCTTTCTGTGTCCACATTGTTTATGGTAACATACACTCAAACTAATACTGAGTACTCTTTTTCCATACATATACCAAATTTTAAACAATGTATATATAATTGGTAAAAATGTTCAATATCAAGGGTAGAGCTTGTGTAAATAAAAGGGTGAACATTGAGGTCAATAACAAGTGGTGACAGTCTGTTTCATGCTTGAACACAATATTCAGGCTATGTATGTTGGATTGTAGCTCAACTATATATGTTGGAAATGGGGTGTTATGGGTAACATGATCAGGCATTTACAGTTTACTGTGTTATATATATATATATATATACACACACACATATTTATAAAAGTAAAAGACAATAGGAAAACTAATAGTTTCCAACGCGTTTCATCCGATGTGGACTTTCTCAAGGCAAAACAAAATGAATTTATTAAACAAAGTAACTAATAATAACAAAACAAAATGTCCTTAGCAATTGGAAGAATTAAGAGAACTGCACTGGCCATGCAGATACACAATGTATATTATTAGTTGATGACTGACAATGTAATGTCAATTTCAAAATAATTTAGAAAATGCTGGATGGCCATAAAACAGTGCTGACAAAAAATTGCAGTAGCCACAATGGAACCCCAAAAAATTACTCTGGTCAGGGGTTTCAGGGGTAAGATGAGCTGGCCATGATCACATTCAGCACTTTTCTTGTCTCATAAAAGTGTGTCCTACACTACTCTTAGTACTGCTTATTAAGATATATATATGTGTGTGTGTGTGTGTGTGTGTGTGTTTGTGTGGATGTTACTTGTATGTAACATCTGCAGGAAGATGTTACATACAAGTAACATCTGTGGGAATGTTTTTCTATATTGTGCCAGATTTGCTAGTCATTGAAGATTACATGAAAATCAGTAGTCTAATGCCAACTATGTGAATTTCCTTCCTGACAGATCTGCAGAGTACTTATGTCAGTCTTGTAATAATTGCAGGACTGAAAAGACACATGAGAATGCATGAGGACAAAGTCATTTTCAAAACAGTCTTTTATGTGTCACATATGTAAAAAAAAAAAAAACAAAGATGTGCATGAGCGAGGCTGGCTTGCAAAGTCATCTGCAGACCCATGCCCGCTCAGTTCAACATTGAAGGCCTTCTGTAAAGAATTGGTACTTATCATGTGTGTGCATATTGGGGGAAAATATATGACAAAGTGGAAAAAAGGTTTCTTGTGACATGTTTCATCCTTTATGACCTTATCAGACTAAATTTATTATGTTGGTACAAATACACAGGTGTACAAACAAGGGATGCTGGGATTTAAAAAATTGTTTTTTTTAATCTAGTTGATTTCATTTAGATTCTTTTTCTTTTTATCTCTTTAAAAAAATTAAAAAAAAAAAATTCCCAGCATCCCTCATTCGTGCACATGTGTAGGTTGCACCAACATAACAAATTTACTCTGATGAAGTGAAGTCCTAAAGGACAAAACACCTGACAAGAGAACCTTTTTCACTTTGTGATACATTTTCCTTCAATATTGTTCTTTTTATATATATATATATATATATATATATATATATATATAGAGAGAGAGAGAGAGATGATATGATGTGTGTTAAGCTGCAATACATTCTAATTTTAAAATCAGTTACAAAACGAAAGAAATAAAGCTTTTGGCATCACAATGTCTCTATGTATTTACTCACCGATATTTATACATTATCTTCAGGAAGTGCAAATTTCTAGAAATTATTGCTGTTTTATTGTCACTGTTCTTAAAAGCAATAGAATTTACTTCCGAGAATCTACTACTGCCCTTCCAGAGGTAGAAGGAGGTACGCCCGTTCTTGAATGTATTATTATTCTTAATAGTTGTAATTGTATTTGCTATAATTCATTTCCATTTCTGATTGGAAGACTCTTTCTACTGGTTATTGTCATGTTGTAGTCAAGCCATTTCCTTTCTAAGATTTATTTATTCTTGGAACAAGCCATTTTCTCAAAGATTTCTTTCTCCTTTTTTTTTTTTCTTTCTCTTTCTCATGATAGCTTCTTTTTTTTTCCTCTTTCTCTTCTTTCCTCTTTTACATTTATTGTTGTCACCTTTTTCTTCTTTCCTTTTTCTTTCTCTTTACTCTTTATTTCTTTTGTTGCCTTTCTTTCTTTACTTTTTTCTTCCTTGTGTTGCTTTTCTTTTGATGCCTTTTTCTTTCTTTTGTTATCTTTCTTTTTTCTTTTCTTGCCTTTATTTTTTCTTTTCTTTACTCTTTTACTTTCTTTTGTTGTCCCCTTTTTCTTTCTTTTTCTTTTGTCTGTGTTTATTCTTTTTTTTCTTCTCCATTTTATTCTTTCTTTGTCACTCCTCTTTCTCATCCCTTGTTTCTTTCTCCTCTTTATTCTTTCTTTGTCACTCCTCTTTCTCATCCCTTGTTTCTTTCTTTCTCCTCTTTATTCTTTGTCACTCCTCTTTCTCATCCCTTGTTTCTTTCTCCTCTTTATTCTTTCTTTGTCACTCCTCTTTCTCATCCCTTGTTTCTTTCTTTCTCCTCTTTATTCTTTGTCACTCCTCTTTCTCATCCCTGTTTTCTTTTTCTTTCTCCTCTTTATTCTTTTCATTTGTTTCTTTCTTTCTCCTCTTTTTCTCATCCCTTGTTTCTTTCTTTCTCCTCTTTTATTCTTTCTTTGTCCTCCTCTTTCTCATCCCTTGTTTCTTTCTTTCTCCTCTTTATTCTTTGTCCTCCTCTTTCTCATCCTTGTTTCTTTCTCCTCTTTATTCTTTCTTTGTCACTCCTCTTTCTCATCCCTTGTTTCTTTCTTTCTCCTCTTTATTCTTTGTCACTCCTCTTTCTCATCCTTTGTTTCTTTCTTTCTCCTCTTTATTCTTTCTTTGTCTATTCTCTTTCTTTTTTTCTCCTCTCTTCTTGCTTTCACTCTTTTTGTTCTTTTTTATTTTGTCTTGTTTTGAAAGTCAAATATAACTGAAATCATTTATGAATTAAAAAAAAAAAAAACAACAAAAATCTTGATTCACCTCACAGTACTTCAATTAAATATCTTTTATGCATAGTTAATGTTTGCATTTTTTATTATGAATTCTAGCAAGGTTATTCAGCACTGTCCAGAATTTGAAAAGAGAAAAGGATTCAATGACGTCTATTTGAATTTCTTTGTTCATTTCTTTAAAAAGAAAAAAAAATCAACATTAATTTATATGTGGCTTCCTCAATAGATAAATAATAAACAAAAGATTGAAAATTGTATATGTATATATATATATATATATATATATATATATATATATATATACACACACACACAAATTTCCAGGAACCAGTTTTATAAGAGCAGGTAATCTTTAGAAACCTATTCTGTTTATTTCTTTTCAATCTGAGAATGGAAATAAATCCTTTTATAGTATCAAAAATAATCAAACCATTTTGATAATTTAAAAGAAAACATTTATTTATTAAGATATTTCCAGACAGTTCACATCATATTTCTAAGTTCAGAAGTTTGATGTTTTTTGACTCTAGTGTCATCAGCTGTGTTATGATTTCTTAGCAACATTCGAACTGAATTTCTGCAATCCCAAAGATCCAATGGAAGGCCTATCAAATTTCTAACTAGAAGATTTACCACATTTTTAAATGCAAGTCTAGAATTAACCATTATCTACCCTACATAGCCTCATGAACTGCACTTCGTTTTTTCTTACATTCATAAAACACCATACAATAACCTTCTACCTTGAGTAGCTCTTAGGCCTTGTGTTAAGTAAATAATAGTATATTGCAAAGATAAACCATGTCAGATTGAGAGAGTGATTAGAATGAACTGACCATTTTCTCAGCATCTTTGGCAATGTGTGTGTGTGTGTGTGTATATATATATATATATATATATATATATAGATAGATAGATATGAGAACTAAAAAGCATTCAAATATAGAGCAAATTTGAAATTGGATAATGTAACCAGACCTGTGACTATCTTTTGTTATTTGGTAATTTTTGTTCAAGCCAACTTTAAATAATCCAAGAAGAGCTGATGTCTATCTACCTATCTCCTTATGTTTCTATCTATATATCTATTTCTCTTTATCTATTCTGTTTCCTTCTTTTTATCTATTTATTTAGTTATATCTATTCTGTTTCTTTCTTTTTTTATGTATCTATTCATCTAACTATCCAATTCTGTTTCTTTTTCTTTTGCATTCTCAGTTTATCTGATTTGGTTTGATTCTGTCTTTCTAATTCTGTATCTATCTCATTCTATTTCTTATTTTATCTCTTTCTCTTTCTTTCTCATTTTATCTCTTCCTCTCTCATTTCATCTATTTCTCTTTCTTTTTGATTTTATCTCTTTTTCTTTCTCATTTTATCTCTTTCTCTTTCATTTTATCTCTTTCTTTCTCATTTTATCTCTTTCTCTTTCATTTTATCTCTTTCTCTTTCTTTCTCATTTTATCTCTTTCTCTTTCTTTCTCATTTTATCTCTTCCTCTCTCATTTCATCTATTTCTCTTTCTTTTTGATTTTATCTCTTTTTCTTTCTCATTTTATCTCTTTCTCTTTCATTTTATCTCTTTCTTTCTCATTTTATCTCTTTCTCTTTTCTTTCTCATTTTATCTCTTCCTCTCTCATTTCATCTATTTCTCTTTCTTTTGATTTTATCTCTTTTTTCTTTCTTTTTATCTCTTTCTCTTTCATTTTTTTCTTTCTTTCTCATTTTATCTCTTTCTCTTTCATTTTATCTTTCTCTCTTTCATTTTATCTTTCTTTTTTCTTTCTCATTTTATCTCTTTCTTTTCATTTTTATTTCTTCCTCTCTCATTTCATCTATTTTTCTTTCATTTTATCTCTTTCTTTTTTGATTTTATCTTTTTCTTTCTCATTTTATCTCTTTCTCTTTCATTTTATCTCTTTCTTTCTCATTTTATCTCTTTCTCTTTCATTTTATCTTTCTCTCTTTCATTTTATCTCTTCCTCTCTCATTTCATCTATTTCTCTTTCTTTTTGATTTTATCTCTTTCTTTTTGATTTTATCTCTTTTTCTTTCTCATTTTATCTCTTTCTCTTTCATTTTATCTCTTTTTTTGATTTTATCTCTTTTTCTTTCATTTTATCTCTTTCTTTCTCATTTTATCTCTTTCTCTTTCATTTTATCTTTTCTCTTTCATTTTTCTCTTTCTTTTCTCATTTTATCTCTTTTCTTTTCTTTCTCATTTTATCTCTTTCTTTCTCATTTTATCTCTTCCTCTCTCATTTCATCTATTTCTCTTTCTTTTTGATTTTATCTCTTTTTCTTTCTCATTTTATCTCTTTCTCTTTCATTTTATCTCTTTCTTTCTCATTTTATCTCTTTCTCTTTCATTTTATCTTTCTCTCTTTCATTTTATCTCTTTCTTTCTCATTTTATCTCTTTCTCTTTCTTTCTCATTTTATCTCTTTCTTTCTCATTTTATCTCTTTCTCTTTCTTTCTCATTTTATCTCTTTCTTTCTCATTTTATCTCTTCCTCTCTCATTTCATCTATTTCTCTTTCTTTTTGATTTTATCTCTTTCTTTTTGATTTTATCTCTTTTTCTTTCTCATTTTATCTCTTTCTCTTTATCTCTTTCTTTCTCATTTTATCTCTTTCTCTCTCATTTTATCTCTTTCTCTCTCATTTTATCTTTCTCTCTTTCATTTTATCTCTTTCTCTTTCATTTTATCTCTTTCTCTCTCTCTTTTCTCTCTTTCTTTTTATCTCTTCCTTTCTCATTTTCTCTTTCTCTTTCTTTCTCATTTTATCTCTTTCTTTCTCATTTTATCTCTTTCTCATTTTATCTCTTTCTCTTTCTTTCTCATTTTATCTCTTTCTCTTTCTTTCTCATTTTATCTCTTTCTTTCTCATTATATCTCTTTCTCTTTCTTTCTCATTTTATCTCTTTCTTTCTCATTTTATCTCTTTCTTTCTCATTTTATCTCTTTCTCTCTCATTTTATCTCTTTCTTTCTCATTTTATCTCTTTCTCTCTCATTTTATCTCTTTCTTTCTCATTTTATCTCTTTCTCTTTCTTTCTCATTTTATCTCTTTCTTTCTCATTTTATCTCTTTCTCTCTCATTTTATCTCTTTCTCTCTCATTTTATCTCTTTCTCTTTCTTTCTCATTTTATCTCTTTCTTTCTCATTTTATCTCTTTCTTTCTCATTTTATCTCTTTCTCTTTCTTTCTCATTTTATCTCTTTCTTTTTCATTTTATCTCTCTTTCTCATTTTATCTCTTTCTCATTTCTCTCTTTCCCTTTTCATTTTATCTCTTTCTCATTTTATCTCTTTCCCTTTCTCATTTTATCTCTTTCTTTTTCTTTCTCATTTTATCTCTTTCTTTCTCATTTTATCTCTTTCTTTCTCATTTTATCTCTTTCTCTCTCATTTTATCTCTTTCTCTTTCTTTCTCATTTTATCTCTTTCTCATTTTATCTCTTTCTCTTTCTTTCTCATTTTATCTCTTTCTTTCTCATTTTATCTCTTTCTTTCTCATTTTATCTCTTTCTTTCTCATTTTATCTCTTTCTTTCTCATTTTATCTCTTTCTTTCTCATTTTATCTCTTTCTCTTTCTTTCTCATTTTATCTCTTTCTTTCTCATTTTATCTCTTTCTTTCTCATTTTATCTCTTTCTCTTTCTTTCTCATTTTATCTCTTTCTTTCTCATTTTATCTCTTTCTCTTTCTTTCTCATTTTATCTTTCTTTTTTCTCATTTCATCTCTTTGTCTTTTATCTATTTCATTCTGTTTCTTTCTTCCTCATTTTATCTATCTCATTTTTTCTTTTGTTGTATGTTGCTGAATTAAACAATCTCACTTTTCATCCATGATATCTATTCGGCTCAGTTGGAAACATATCTTTTTTTCTATCTTTTTCTTATATTTAAGGCACAAAGTGGGTTTTATATGATAGTTAATTTGCAAATATTTTCAAATTGTTAAAAATTGACTAAGTATGAGAAAAAATTCCAACCCTTGGAATTCATATTTCAAACAAACCAGTGTTCATACATTTTTCACACCACACTACTTTCTTATCAAGGCCAAATTATGGAAACAGCTTTTTAATTTTTTCTTTTAATTTTTTCCCCCGAAACCTTGCATGTTAGTTTTAAAAAAGAGTTCTTGGAATATTATAGACAGAGGAATTTTCTACGGCTATACCAAATGCTTTTATTGATGTATCCTTTTATTCAAATCTATTTTAGTTTCAAGTTAACAGCTTACAAGAACACACACACAAAGATAAAGAGAGAGTGGTAGATATAAAATATCTTTAACTGAAATTAATACTGCCCTCGTTTATATCAACAACCAAAAGCCTATCCAAAAACACAAGATCCAAGGAAAGGAATATATCCAGTACTTTTATCAGATAAAGAAAAATACTTTACAGAAAGTTTCATGAACAGACATGTGTGTGTTTGTGTAGTAATAATAATGATAATAATAATGAAACTAAAACTACATATGAAAATCATGAGAATTTAACATTTTTCAAGCTAGCAGAACTTTTGTCCGAAAGGATAACTTAAGCTATAATATTTGATAAATCAACAAATGTTCAAGTGGTTTATCTGACTGACTGACTCAAGAATTTCATACTGAAACACTCATCAGAGCCAGGTTAATCAAGGCAATCATTGGTTGCCCACTATGCTGCAGTTTTGACAATTCAAGAGCCAAAACTGCTAATTATACATGCATGGCTCTCCATCAGGGACCATGACACAAGACCTTGCCTTAAAATTTCTCATCAGGCTAGGCTACAGAACCATTAAACCGAAAGGAATTATTTAAAAATTTAAGCAGAAAAAATAAACAATGGAAACAAAGAGAAACATAAGCTGGCTTCTCATGTGACTGATGGCAGCATCAAGAGAATAAATGGGAGACTATTATTTTGTACATATTTCTTACTCTCTGGTAGGCAACACCAAGGCCATGCTATGTTGCAGTCTGCACCAGTTCCCAATCCGCACATTAGATGACCGACTGCTAAAACTATTCCCAGCCTTTTTCCTTATCCAGGCATGACATGGCCGACTGCTAAAACTATTCCCAGCCTTTTTCCTTATCCAGGCATGACATGGCTCCTCCTCTGTCTATTCTACAAATATTTTCATTGCAACTGCTCTGACAAGCTTTTTTCCCTGGTGCCCCAAATGCATGAATTTAAGTGTGCTACTAGATTGGCATATAGGTTCCAACTGTTTACTGTTTAAATAGCTAAATGCAACCACCACTTCTCCTCCAATAATTTCTTTTCTCGCACTTCCCACCTGTGGAACTTCTTTCTGTTTACTTACTTCCCTGATAAATACAATCTTCAAAAATTTAAATGCAACATCTATCTTCATCTTCTATCTTTCTTCTTGATTCCCATTCATCTTTTGTCCTTTCCTCAATCCTCCCTATACTCAGTCTTTTCTCTCACTTTCACTCCCTGTGTACAAGTGGCATTCCCACCTCGTTTGGAGTGAAATGATTAAAAAGAATGTGTGTATAGTAATAATAATGATGATAATGATAATACAATTAGAAATACATATAAAAAATTATGGGAATTTAACATATATTTCATGCTAGTGGAACTTTTGCCTCCAAAACTCAATAGACTTGATCTATAATATTCAATAAAACAAAAATGTTTAACTAACTTATCTGACTGACTCAGGTTTCATATTGAAATGCTCATCAGAGCCAGATGTTCCATAAATTGAATATATATATATGTGTGTGTGTGTGTGTATATATATATATATATATATATGTGTGTGTGTGCGCGTGCGCAGGTATGTAGAAAAATAGGAAAGAACACGTTAGGTAAATAATCCAGAGTTCTTTAGTATTTTTATTTTTAAAAAACAGTGCTCCATACAGAAGTAGAGCTTAAATTATAATTATTTAAAAAAAAAAAATGATTCCTTCGCTACATAAGAATTCTCATGTTTCAAAAACGAGAGCCAAAACCCTCAATACAATTATTAAAATTAAATTGAATTAAGGTATCAAGCCCTGTTTCATCCTCAAGCAAAAATTTAGGAATAACCAATCTTGAAATTTACGCATCTTTATAAGCATGTTCATTCACAAAATTAATTACTATGGAAATGGCTGGGGCAACCATTTTGGTAGGGGGTCTAACAGTTAATTTTTATCTGCATATCAGTCACCTAGTGACAAAGTGAAAAAAGATTTTGTGTGACTAATTTTGTTTACTTTCATGCAGCTATACATTCACAGATGCTGGGAATTTTAAATTTAGAAAAAAAATAATAATTTGTGTGTTTTGGATATATAATCAAGCCAATTTCATTTAGATTCCTTTTTTTTTTGTTTCTATCATCTTCGTTATTAAATATCCCACACTGTGATAACAGAAGATCTGCCAAGAATGATGAAACATTGTAGCAAACTGGACACAAATTTACAGTGGATGAACTAGCATTTAAAGCACTTTTGAAACATTTTAATCTTAGTAAATTATTTTCTCTTTTAATTAAAGTAGCATTTTTCATGTCAAAGTTGTGATCAGTCTCTTTACAGTGAGCAACTAATGCACTTAATAAAAGATTTAATCAATATGAAACAAAACAATGAGCCAAAACTTGAAGAAGGAATTTACACTATCACTCGCAAGGATCGCCATAAAGAATATATTGGAGAAACCTCAAGAATTTAGAATAAAAGATTATCTAAACACAAAAGAGATATTTTAAAGAACACATTAAATGCATTATATATATTGTTGCAGGAATGGAAGTTACTCATTTTATACTTCCTTCTGTGAGTGTAGGTAAAAAAAAAAGGTCAGAAGCCATAGAATTAAACCAGTTAATAA